ACTACTACTACTACTGTTGCTACTGCCGGTGCGGCCACTTCCACTGCTAGTGTGGACGACGGCTGCTACTACGGATACTGCTAGTGTAATGCGACGACGCCTACAACTATGAATATACGACTACAACTACTGCTTCCTACTGTTACTGTTACCGACGTGCCAGTCCGAGTTACTCTTCGCTTGCTGAAGGGTGTGCTCTCGAGCCTGCAGAGCAGCATCGCCACTGGCCTTCAGCTGCCGATCAATCTCAAGCATTGCAGGAGTCTTGTTGAACTGCAAGCTGCTGCAATCCAGACGGGGCATCATCAAGATGTTAGCTACCAATGCATCAATGCTCTGGATCGCCAGAGCCTTTTTCTGCTGGTGATGGGCCGTGCTGTCGCGTTTCCCTTCGACCTCATCTTCCCATTTTGAGTCAATGAAGATGTGCTTCACCTGTTTGGCTTCCTCCCCAACCATGTCTTCGAGCTCATGCACGCGGGCTTTCTGCTCGTCTACATCCAGTGTTAGCATGGACCATTTTGTATGGATCATAATGAAGTTGCGGCGATGGTCCTTGAGCCAATCCCACAAGTACAGGAAAGATGTCTTGAAAGATGAATCATATGCCATGCCCTTTCCAATGACGAACACGATCGAAGAAATCTGTCCAAGCTGGGCAAGTTCTCCAGCTATCTCTTCGAAATGCTGCTCGTCAACACCAGAGCCTCTGCTGTCCTTGTCTCCAGGGCAGTCGAGGAAGTTGACCCGAAAAGTATGCTTCCCGTAGACTGCCTCTGCCATATAGGTATCCAAATAATAGTCCCGCGAATCCCTGTTGCCGCCTTTGAAGATTCTCATCATTTCCGACAACGCCTTCTGGCCTGGCCTCATGCCACAATCCCTCTTGCGAACCGTTTTGCAGCTGATGCTACTTACCTGCAACGGGTACTTGGTGACCTTCGCTGTAGTTGAAAGATTCCCTCGTCCAACTTGCAGCGAATCTGGCACTTGGTTGTTGTTGTAAAGCCTGTGCAAAGCTCTCAGCAGTTCGGACTTGCCGCCTGTAGTCGGCCCCACAACTATGGCGTTCCGCTCCTGGTTGGACAACTCTCCTTTTGAGGGTGCTGTGCAATCGTCCTGGTCCCAACGCCAGTGGATAATGCTACCAGTGTCATATGAGTCATCTTCATCGTTGCCTGCCGGGAGACCCGTCTCGGATTCCCCTTCTTGGCCTTCCTTGCAGGGTGAAGGCTTCAGGGGGAAAAAGGCGATAGGAACTGTTATGATGATTACTGAAGCTGTTGGCGAACGCAGCGTTCGGTGGAACAAGCTATATTAACAGCGACAAAGACTCTGCCGCTCCGTATCCGCTGCCCGACCCCTGCTGGGCCCCAGTGGCAGCTTCCCTTTCATCCACCTGATGTGGTTCAGCGCAACTGGCAAACATGAAGGCTTGGCTCCTGCGACGGACTGCAGGGAGATGTCGGCAGTACAGGAGAAAAGGACTCGAGCCGTTAGTGCTATAAGCTCATGCCGAAGCTCATGACTAGCTTGGCGTTGACAGGGCAGGCTGCAGAGGAGTGAATTCTGGGACCTGCATGCGAAGGACTGTCACGATGACGGGGTGTCGATTCATTGTGATCTCAAATGCGCAACAGGTGTGATTAGACTGATTAGACGTTGTGATAGGGAGACTTTCTGCTGCTCTTCACATCGCACGGGCAAAAACTCAAATCCTTACAGAAGCCCTTAAACAGTCTTCAATGGCTTTGCCGAGGGCGTCATCATTGCTGCTTGTTTGAAATGTGACTGACTCGCCATGTGCCGTGCATAATATATCACCGCATGGCTTCGGATGGCCACGGCTTTCCCTAGCATGGGCTTTAAGTTCCTGCTAATTCAGCTTGATCGATAGCTTGTTCACTAGTTGGCAGATGTTGGAAGCGGTGCTCGGCAGAATGTTTGAACCCCTCTGCTTTCGAGACCACCACCCTGCCCCCGTTCGGCTTAGCACTTTGACGAAGATGCATTTGACTGACCACGGTTTTATCGAAGCTTCGAGAACACTGAGCCTCATGAGCAGCATGAGCAAGCTCATCTCAGGATGTTGGAACCCTAAGCCCCTCAACACTAAAACCCTAAACCCGTGAACCCGCTCTCTGATCGGCACACCGTGAACCCTCAATTGCGCGCCTTGCAAGACCCTAAAGCCTGCAACATGCCCAAAACCCTAATCCCTTCAAGTAAATTCCCGCTAAAACTGCCAAACTGAAAGCCCTCCTTCCACCCTTCTGGCCTTGGATAAATGATGTAGGGGCCTTAACGATTAGAATAGGGCTTTGGGATATATTTTGTCATAAGTATAACAAGGCACCCCAAAATAAAGTATTTAGCCCCTATATTAACTCTCGGCCACTTGAATGGAAAGCCGCTGAGCATTCCCTGCAAAAACCCATCAAAAGAGTTCATCAACCCTCATTGCCCATCATGGATTACGGCTATGTCTCTTGTATTTTGGTTTCGGTGGGTCACATGCCGACAGCTACACCCAAGCCTTGTAGGATACGTACTTGGCGCTACCAATACTTAAATAAAGTCAATGAAGCGTAAGCTTCAGGGCTTAGAGTTTTCGCTCATCGAAGTCGCCGATCTGTCCGATTCCCTGAGGAGATCTGCCGCACTCAGCCGGCAAAGCTGGACGTCGCGGGTCTCACCGGCAGGGAGCCCAGTAGCTGAATATACTCTCGAAGATCGCTGGAGGACAGCTGCTTGCCTCAGTAGCAGTGCGTCGTTGCAGGGCTTAGGGCTTGGAGACTTTCCCGAGCATCCGGGAGTAGAGCGAAAAGATTTAGGACCCAAAAAGCACACAAAGACTTGTGCTCCTGGGTGGCCAACTGCCGCCTTGTACCACTCATGTACAGCTCCCAGTTGGTCGAGTCGCAGTTCCTGCATTGAAGCAACTCGACTCACCAAGGTGTTCTCTTCAATGAGTTTGTTCAGGCCTTCCAGGACCTCTTTTGCATACTTTTCAGCATCTTGCTTGTGTCGCAGATCCTCCTGGTCCTCCTTCATTTTCGCTCGGATGGGCTCCAGTTCAGCCTTGATCTGTTCAATTTCGGCAGCATGTACGTGTCGGCTTGCTCCATAAACAACCAAGCTGCCCATGTAGAATGTTGGCACCAAGCCAGTGCTGCAGGTCACTTGGACTGAAAATACCTTGTGGTCCCAGTCTGTCCAACTGATACGGAACGTGCCGTCAGTCGTGACAACGTTGCTGATAGGCACCCTGGTCTCTACTCGTAGGCATCGCCAGCCCCACAAAAAGATCCAAGCCTCTTTGCGAGCAATCTCAACATCGGTGTCGACGTCAATTGCTTCAAGTCTGCACATCAAGGGAGCCGTGTGACTCTCACCTTCCGCAACCCGCCTGGAGATTTCTCGCATCTCTTTGTTAAGTACGGCAAGATCTCTATCTGTTGTGTCAAGAGTTGCCTGTGCAGCATCCAAAGCAGCCTCTGCCCCGGCAATCAGCTGCCTGTCCACTTCATGCATCCGCCGCGTCTTCCTCGGTCCCCTTCTGTCCCCTTCGTAATACAACCCGGTCCCATTGCCAATAATACAACAAGTACATCATCAGTATTTTTGAGGTTGTCATGGTTGTCATGTCTTTTGTAGTCTGTTCTCATGCAGATTGTGCCTATGTCTACTGCTACTGTCACTGTTACTGTTACTGCTACTACTACTGTTGCCGTTACTGTTACCGAGACCGTTACAGTTACTGCTACCGTTACTGTTGCGGCTGCTGAGGCTGGTAGTGTTATTTGCGGAGCATCTTCATTCTGGTTCTCGCGCAGGTGCTGCTACTGCTACCGCTGCTGCTGCTGTACTGCTGCTGCTGCTGCTGCTGCTGCTACTACTACTACGACGGACACGATTACGAGTACCATTGCGATTGCTCTTACTCTTACCTTGACTGGTACTATTACTCTTGCTCTCGCTCTGGCTCTAATTACCACTACAAGTCAGATCATTATCACTATTGTGGGTATGATGATAATCATGATGCTCAATGGCAATGATATTGGCTATGACTGTTATGATTCACTGATTATCACCTGGTCATGATGATAATCATGATGACAATGATACTGGCTGTGACTGTTATGATTCTCATAATTGAGACGATTATCACCTTTTTTACTACGGCTACTAGTATGACTATATTGCCACTAATATCAGGAGTACTATGACTGTTTGAAAATAGTTTTGTCCTTGCTGTTGGTATTCAACTTTAGTTGCCACGGAGGCCGTAAAATCGCAAAACAGTGAAAGGCTGCTGCGGGAACACCTAGCTTCCTGAAGGGGAGCATGGCACAGTCAATATTGGACGCCAGCGCAATCTCAGTGATCAGCGCGTTCATGCTGTTAATAGCCAGTGCTTTCTTCTGCTGGTTAAATGCCATGCAGTCACGCTCTTTGGGATCCTCATCCTCCCACTTCGAGTCAATGAAAACTTGCTTTACCGTGTCAACGTCGGTGAAGCCGAAGACCTCCGAAAACTCCCTTTCGCGGGCGGCCCTTTCTGCTTCAGCACCAGGCTCTAACATGGACCACTTGGTGTGCACGATAATGAAGTGGTTGTGGTAGTTCTTTAACCAGTCCCAAAAGTACAGAAAAGACCCTTGGAAGGACAGGTCATATGGCATCCCCTTTCCAATGACGAAGATCACAGCCGCCAACTTTCCCTTTCGGGCCAGCCTAACCGCAATGTCGGCCATGTGATCCTCATCACGGCCCTTGCTGTCTCTATCACCAGGGCAATCCAAAAAATTGACCTGGAACTTGTGCTTTCCGTAGACAGGCTTTGCCATGTACTTGTCCAGATAGTAATCGCGGGAGTCTTTGCGGCCGCCCTTGAAAGTTTTCAGCACCTCCGACTCGTTGGGCGGACCTGCCTCCCATTTCAGATCTCGATTACGAACTGTCTTGCAAGACACGCAGCACACCGAAAGGGGATATTCTGTGACGGTGGCCGTCGTGGATGTATTGCCGTGGCCAACTACCAGCGATTCTGGAATGCGGTCTGTGCTATAGATCTTGTGCAAGGCCCGCAGTAGTTCCGACTTTCCAGATGTTGTTGGCCCCACGATGATAGCACTACGCTCCTCCTTGGAAAGATCTGTCGAAGAATATGGCTGTGCCCCAGGCCCATCTGGGAATATCCATCGTTTAATGTTGTCGCATTCATGTGGAGCTTCCTCGTCGGCGGAATCCTCATCAACATCCTGCTGCGGCTGCTGCCAGATCTCTTCTGGCGAAATCTTTCGTGAAGCAGCGCAGGAACGAAGCATGCCTACACCCTAGACCCAAAACCTCTGCAAAATCGGGGAAACCGACTCGAACACCTTGAATCCAACATTCCCGGGTAGTTTGACCAAGACTGGCCCAAAGCTATCCTTGTTCCGGAAGTTGCGTTACCACAACAAGGAAACTACATTTAGTATAGATGCCTGTTGTGGTAACTTAGATTATAAATTCCAGAGCAAGGACCAAGTCTGAGTCGCTTCCTGCTTTCACTTCCATAACCCTCATGATGAGACAGAATCGTCGGGGCAGTCTCTAGCCTGGATCACTCTTAGGGTTAGGCTTAGGGTTTAGGGTTTAGGGTCTAGGGTCTAGGGTTTAGGGTTTAGGGTTTAGGTCAGTTTGCAATTGGGAAATTCGGATCTCCAGGCGGGTGTAAGAGAATTCTACACGCAGCAGAAGGCTCTTTCACTCAAGCTCGCATTTGTCGAAAACTTGCCTAGGTTCTTCTCTCACGCGGCCTGGAAGAGGGGTATAGTCGGGAAGAACGGAACACCTCTAAACCCTAAACCCTAAACCCTAAACCCCAAACCCTAGACCCTAGACCCTAAACCCCTAAACCCCTAAACCCTAAACCCCAACTTCCGCCGCCGCAGTGAGCCTAAAATCTGAGACGTTTGCCGCCCTCAGTCGCCGGACGCGTCATCAGCTGCCTGCAGGGTCTGGGGGTTCAGGATGGTTTAGGGTTTAAGGTTTAGGGTTTAGGGCTTTAGGGTTTAAGGGCTTTGGGGTTTTACGGCTCAAGGGTTCGGGTTTGGGCTTCTGATTCGGAGTTCAGGGTGTAGGGCTAGGGGTCAGGGGAGATCAGAGATTACCAGAAAGGACGAAGGCTGAAGGCTGCGTGGGAAGAAGGACCCTTGTAGATCCTGACACAAGCCTAAACCCTAGACCCTAAACCCTGGACCCCGAACCCTGAACCCTAAACGCTGAACCCGGACCCTAAGCCCTGAACCCGAACCCTAAACCCTGAACCCGAAACCCTGAACCCTAACCGATAAACCTAAGCCGTAAACCCTGAACCCTACAGCCTAAACCGTAAACCTCAAACCCTGAACC